GTGGATACCACAACCGCAATAACTAGTTCTTTGCTACGGCGGCGAGGTATAAGCTCGAAGAAGAGCGGGGACCGCTGCAGCAGTAGAGCTTGATTATTGTGAAGAACTTGCGGTTGTGAATGTAGAAAACCTTTATCAATGGATTAAAACTGATCAATATTAATATCACAGCATCCCCGAATCACCTATCAAGGCTAAAAGGGAACTGCGAAACTCGTTTTCGCTATGGTCAGCTTCATACCATTGCGAAGAGTTTTCTACTGTTACCACCAGTGCGGTCTCAAAAGCAGTTGTCACTACCAGCCCAATACGTTAGTATCGAGGGCGCCAGTAAATAACCTGGAACTCTATTTCTGAATTTCAGTAATCTATTTACAGCATGCACATGGGTGCTGCTCGGACTTCAGCACCCTACAGGCTCCATAATCCGATAGACAGCTAGCAGCGGTGGTTTGCATATTCAAACATTGCAACTCTCATTTCGCGGCAAACCGAGCGCTAACGCCTGTGCGATTGCACTTCGCAAAATGAGGTACCCATGTCGATGTCCCACCTATCGACGTAATCTCCGAGCTCGCAAACGTGTCAGTTTAATGCCCTGTTCGACTCCCTCACAGAATTCTCTACTCGCACATAAAAGACTGAACAGCCACGGAAGGATCTTCTTGTGAAGGTGTCGCCGCAACAATTTCGGCATTTGTCTATCATTCGGTAAGTACCTCGGCCGAAAGCCCCTTGGAGTGGGTCGATATCGATAGAATTAACTAGATTATAAGATAGTAGAAAGCTAGATGTCACCGTGATCATGGCGAAGATACTCGGCAGAGGTGTAGCCGCTACTTGCTACCAACTTGCGTGTCTTATTTCAGAGATAACACTTGCAGCGTCCAGTCGAGTCCTTTGTAACGATGACGCGTTTCAAGTGGCTAGACGTTGTCACCATGGCAAATTCGATGCCAGTACGGTTACAGAGCGGCAAGTATGTCTTTTCAAGTGTGCTGATGTTCGAGAGGAGAAGCGGTTCGTTTTGAAAAGTCTCCGAAGTCTAAAAGCAAAATGTATAGCAATAGCAGTAACTAGGTCACCAATAGTAAAAAAAAAAAGCAGAATTTTGCTTGTTATTATTTTCTTTTAAATATGTTTCCGAACTCTGCATGTCAATGCAAGAAAAAAAATAAGATGTCGACACAAGCATGATGCGGTGGTAGCGAGGTGTGCACAGCCACTTGTTGGGCTGCGGAGGAAAAGATGCACGTCGGATGAAGCGTACATGGTCGCACTTCGCCGAGAATGTAAAGGGAAACTACTTTTCATCGACTGCAGAAGCCAAACCAGCGCGTATGGCAATATTGCACTGGGTGGAGGGTTTGAAGTGTGCGTGTGGTGTAATTTAGAGGTCATTGTGCTTAGTTTACTAACTGATGTGTCTGCAGGTTGGACTATTACAAGGATACCAATATCATGTTCGTGGGTACTGAGATCGAGAATGATCCTGAATATTTGTAAATCCGCGAAGGTCTTGAACTAGCTTTTCTTAAAACTGCTGGCAGCGCACTCGCAGCGTATCTGAAGTGGAGACTGGTCGAATGCACGACACTGTCTAACGCAAACTCAACACAATCGACCACAGGACGAACCTTGCAAACATCGTATGGGGGTGCTCAAAGCAAATAACTTTGAAGCACCGAGAGACTGGAAAGGATATCGCCATCTCGCAGGATACTATGGAGAGTGAATGCTGATCAGAGGTCGAAAATGGTTAACCATATCCGTTCGGGTAAGGTTTGGCCGTAACCACGGACGGGTATGGTTAACCGAAAGTTTAACCCAGTACTTAAACGGACGCGTACGGGTAGCTGACTTCCAAGCTCGGTTGGTTCCGGTTGGCCGACTGTACCGGAGACTGGGCATTTGTACGGGTTTCTATCCCTTTACGAGCGTCTATGAGGACTTGACCTCCCCTCCCTCCCCGATCTACCCGACGGGCGAATGATGCATTTAGCATCTTATTCGGTACAGAAATATCTGAAAAGAAACAATTTTAACTTGATTGGTCATGGCCATCCGGATCCTGTCTACAAGGGACTTCGGGGGGGGGGGGGGGTATGGTTCACCGGAAGTTTGCGTTTGCGATCTCCGACGCTGATCGCATGCTTGCATGTACTCCATACTTGCTACGTAAAAATGAAAGAGGTTCGAATAAAACGGGTTTTATGCAGACAACATTTATGAAAAGTTCATATTTCTGCTAGCTACGTTGAGCACTACAGACGTGTCGTTGAACAAACGTTCCCAGCACATACGCAATAGTCCCACGAACGCGTCCGTCCTTGCCACTAGACTTCAGCTGCGCGTTGAGACTCCAAACATTCAATGTGATTCAGCATGCAAAAAGGTTCGTCCAATATCTTGCCGATAACAAGGAGACTTGAGGGCCAACGACTTAGAAGACGTTCTCCATCAGGATTAAGAGGTATCGCCTTAGGCGACCAGGATCTACGGTGCCGTCATCTCTGGCGGGGCCGTTGTCTCCTCTTCCGGAGCTGTCGTCTCTTCAGGTGCCGTTGTCTCCTCTTCCGGAGCTGTCGTCTCTTCAGGTGCCGTTGTTTCGTCTTCCGGTGCTGTCGTCTCTTCCGGTGCTGTCGTCTCTACCGGTGCCGTTGTTTCGTCTTCCGGTGCTGTCGTCTCTTCAGGTGCCGTTGTCTCCTCTTCCGGTGCTGTCGTCTCTTCAGGTGCCGTCGTCTCATCCGCAGGAGCGTCGGAGGCTTCGGGGGCGGGTGTGTGCACAGGAGCAGTCGTACCCTCGGGAGCCACGGTCATGGTAGGTGTATCAGGGTGCTCGTAGGTTGGTTTGTCACCAGAAAGATAGCTGTCGTGGTGGCCATCCTGCGACGAAGGGCACGGATCGTAGGAGTTGCCGCCTTCATATTGGTTGCCATTCTCGGGATAGTCACCACCATGGGGGTAATCATCCTTCTTGTAGTCCTTCTTGGGGTAGTCGTCCTTCTTGTAGTCTTTGTCGGGGTAGTCCTTCTTGGGGTAGTCGTCCTTCTTGTAGTCTTTGTCCGGGTAGT